AAAAAAAAAAAAAAAAAAAAAAAAAAGAAAAAAAATGAGGATTCTTTCTAGTGTAAAGAAAAGTAAAATTTCTTGATTCATCTTTTTGTTCTATATGCTTTTAATAAACAAGAATTACAATTCTTTTTAATTCGTATAGCATATAACTTATCGTACAATTTTTCTTCTTTCTTTTCTCAAATATATTCTTTTAATATTTCCAACACAAGAAGTTAAGCAGCTAATTGCCACTTGGTTTCGTTAAAATTGTCCGTTATATATAACACTTCATTATATATAATTACGAAATAACCGTTAAATTTCTTAATCGAATGAAACGAAATGAACTATCATCCGTATCTGATAAAATATTCACGTATTATCAAATCACAGCAGACTTTCTTAATCTATTTTCAATTCTTCGTCCTAATGAAGAAAACTTAATCCCTATCATATATTATACCAACGTATTATTCTTTATCTACTATCAATAAACACCAACGATTATCTCAATATAGTATTATATATTTCTACATTTTTTTTTTCAACCTAAAAAAGGCACGCTAATTATCATTTTCTAAATGCAACAAATTTCCCTAAATATATCAAACGAATATTCTCTAATAAATCAAATATCTCTCTCTCTCTCTCTCTCTCTCTTTCTCCCTCCCTAGATTAATGTTCACCTCTATATAAGTTAAGTGAATAAATATATTCTTCTATTGTCATCGTTCGCCTTTATATCGTTTTTCTCTCTCTTTTTTTTTTTTTTTTTTTTTTTTTTTTTTAATCTACTATATAATTTCATCGCGACGAATTCATTGAAAATTTCCTCTTCTTCTTTCTCTTCCCCTTCTCCTTCTTCTTCTCCTTCTCCTTCTTCTTTTTTTTTCCTTTTTCTTTTCTCAAGCATTATTAGCAACGAGCATTCGTGGACCTTGAACGAGGTGCTTACTAAGTACTGCAAAAAGTGCGAGTTTGCATATCTCCCTTCGATGATTGCAGAAACGGACCGTCCGATGGCCAAAATGTGCGACGAGTGCATAAAAGTAATCAAGTTCCGGCGTCGTCGATCATTCTCAGTATCCTTAGCTTTCGCAACGTTCGCTTTTGCGAAAGTTGTCAGGTGTCGTACGTGTTTATCAACTTTCTTTCGGGAGGTTTGATATCGTAGAAGAATCTTTTGAACCGAGAGACGAAGAGAGGCGAAGTCTCTAATCTTACGAATTAATCATAAAACGGAACGTAACATTTATTTCCGAGCACGATGATTCGAAAATAATTAGAGAAATCGAATTGCTTCTTTCTGAAGAGAGATAAAGACTTGGATCGGTCATGGAAGAGATCATCGAAATAAATAGATGTTAAATTAAGAAACTACTTCGAAGATAATCGTAATCTAAATTTTATGCGCATTCGACGAGTTGGAATAAAAATTATTCTGAAAAATAAAAACACTCGTTATCAAATAATATTATTTAACTTGATACTTTTTCAACTAGCGATAATTTATTTGCGTATTAAATTGCATCGAACAAATCAAATTTGTATAGTCCAAAAGTTTTTATTTTTTAAATCGTCAATTTTATCGTGAAATATTTTTTCTCCCTATATATCCCCGGTAATATTAATCGTAATTAGATATTATTTAAATGCTAATTGAATATCCTCTGCGTTATCGATAATTAAAGGAAGTATTGTCTAGAATAAAGCAATACGATTCGTTAAACAGTTTGTGGAAACGAATGAAATGAAGAGAGGGAGGGGGAGGGAAAAAAAAAAGAAAAAGAAAAAAATGTAATTAAGGTATAGATTGTACGCATATCCCGCGAATTAAATCAGGAACGTCTTTCCTGATTTAATTTCCACTCGTTTCTCGTTTTAATTTCTGTTAATTTGTTTATCGAGAATCGATGCGTTTATAAGGGTAGGCGGATCCCTACCTAAACGAGTTTATTTCAACGGAAACGAATATACGTTCCCGGTTTCCTGGATTTTCTGATATCTTCCCTCCTCCCCTCCCCTCCTCCCCCCTGCCCCGTTAAACATTTAATATTTATTCTTGTAATTAATGAACGTTAAATTGATCGGCCAACGTTAAACCCGATGGATTAAAGTTTGATTAAAAATCATTCCATTTATAACAAATCTAATCGAAACTCTCATCGAGTCGAGTTGAACTTTCTTTTAAAGAGGAGAGGGGGAGGAAGGGAAAGGAGGAAATTAAAAGCCAAGATCCATCATACTTAATCCTTCGTTAATTTTATATACCTCAACGAATAATTAATGAAATAATTGCCCGTTATTGTTGCGGCGATAGATAAAATTAGTAGTAGATTTTAATCTAATTAATCAATTGCAGAATCTCGTTCTGGTATCTCATTGTAATAATCCCGATTCAGAAACACGAATCTAAAAATTTAAAATATAACCTCGATAAACACGATAGGATATCCAAAATTATGACGCTTGACGAATGAAACGAACTGCTTCCCTAACATCCATTCACTTAATTCAATCAATCGAAAGTAACAAAATTTCATT